AAATATGTCTATATAAAATAGCATTCCTCTACACATAACATACATAGCTTTCCTCTGCACATATAAAATAGGCAAGATATACAGCTACTTTCTCTTAGTTCAACGAGATGAAAAGTTTGTACTAATATTGTTTAGACAAGATATCTTATCTGCATCTTGTCCTCTGAATAACCACTATGAAGACAACAATATGCAATGTATTAATTATTGTAACTGTCCTACTAATCTGTTTTGAATCTGTTTCAGTGCTATTTTCTCATTAAAATTGATTAAAAAATTATTTTTTAGAAAAATGAGACACATTAACTTAAATGCCATATAGTTTCTCTCATGAAAAAACCAAAGGGCCAGAAAGATAGCTCAGGGGACTAAGCACCTGTTTCAGCAAGCTCAGGAACTGGGGTTCAGTCCCTGGTACCACATGCTGTACCAATCCCAGACCCAGGCATGATGAGCCAGACACTGAGACCACATGTCATGATGCGTGCCTGTAATCCCAGCACTGGGGATGCTGAAAACAGGAGAATCATTATGAGTCTGAGATGTACAGTCAGACCCTGTACCATATACATCAAAAAAGAAAAAAAAAACAAGTGCAAACATAGAAAAGAGAAAAGTAAATGTTTCAGAAAAGGCAACAGGGAGATAGACATTTTTAAATCAGAAGAGGACCAAGATTAGGGGTAGGGGACACAAAAAGATGTAAAATGTGTCCTGGACATGTACCAATTACCCACAATGAATGTAATAATTATGTATCACAAACTAGAACAAAAGTATAAATGGGGAGGGGATCTAGAGATGTAGAAGAAGGGGAGAATGCAAAGGGGAAGGAGAATGAAAATAATTAAAATACACAAAGTACATATATGTACCCCCCTAAGATGAATATAAATATCACATATTGCAAATTATACTCATAAAAAAGAAAATATAATGAAAGGAAATATTCCATTTATAATACTAACACTTAGAGAACTAGTAGCAATACAAAATCAAAGACAATTAAAATATATTGTCTTTATTTTGGAATAGGAAAATTCTAGATTGGGAAGGTAGCCATCTCCCTAAATTCAGTAATAAATTTAATACAAATAATCAAGATATGTGTTCTTTTGGAACATGACAAATAAAATTTAGCTCTTACCTAGGGAAATAAACACCAGAGAATCAATACTGAAAAGCAAAAATAAAGGAATGTCTTGCCTGAAACATATTATACTATGAAACTAAGATAATTAAACAACAAAATAGAGAAAATAGAGCACAGAAATACATATAAACATGCATATGTATGAATTTCACATATGACAAAGGTATAATTTCAAATTAGAAAAAAAGATGAATTATATAACAGTGCTAAACAATTAGGCAACAACTTGGGAAAAATTTGGATTCCTAAAATCTTACACCTAAATAAATTTAGATGGAAAATAAAACAGAAAATTGTCAGAAGTAAAAATATGTAACTTTTTTCTTAACTCATTTTATACAGATAAAGCTTCTCTTAGCTGAAGATAAAATTTGAAGCTGTAAGGAAAATACTAATTTGAGTAACAACAAATCTTCTTTTCTTTTTACTTTTTGGGGCTGAAGACTAAGCCTAGGGTCTTGTGTTAGGTAGCTAGGCAAACACGCTACCACTAAGCTAAAGTCCTAAAAACAAAACTTTTATATTTATATGTGATTTTAAAATACACAATGCTCTAAATAAAGTCAAAGGGTAAACAATAAAGTAGAAAATAATATTTATAACACATATAATCCTGGAAGGACTAACTTATTTTTAAAAAAACCTCAAGTGAGTAAGCAATAATAATAAATATAATATGAACAAATTCTGTTCACAGAAAAGGAAATAGAAGTGGTCAAGAAATGCAGAGAAGTAAATTTGACTTCATGTACAATTACGGAAATGCTAATTAACCAAACTGTATGTTTACTTGTCAGACTGGCAAAGACTGACATTACTAGTAATACTCAATACTGATTATTTCAACAGTTTGAAATAATCACACAGGAAAACAGGCACTCTATTTTTTGTATTTTTTATAATTCAGTCACTTAAAGAGCTTACTATATCATTAAGGTGCAATAATTTCCTTTGACTATAATTTCATTAAATCATTACATACAAATATATTCATAAAAGTACAAGGAGATGGAAACTCAGATGGAATCACGTACTGACAGTTACATCAGTTATTTCCTGATATTTACTTTGTTTTCTCCTAAAATAACCACATTGGGCCTATCATCTGCACATCATTTCCTCTCTACTCGAAGAACTTTATTCCTTTATGAGTGTTCCACTGCCTCTGTTGACTGCAGTCTATCACTATTTAAATGCATTCAACTATCTCTATCTCAAAAAAAAAATAAAAAAAAATGAAAAAAGATTATCTTTTTTCTTCATCATAAAGTTTTTTTTCATTTTCTTAATGATTAGAAGGTATATTATACATTTTTACTGTCTTAACTTATTTGAAAATTGACCTTTTCTTCTTTATAAAATGCTCCTCTTTATCATTGTTGATACTCTTTACCTTAAATTCAATTATATTTGATAGTAATCTTTTAATGGTTACTGTTTACATGGAATATACTTTTTAACCTATTTGGTTTCAACCTCATCATATCTTTAAACTTTCTCTTCAAGACAATATATAGTGGATTTTGCGTCATTATTTTATGCCTTTTAAGCATAATCAGTCTAGTACTATTTAATGTAATTATTGACACAGAGTTAGGGATACTATTTTATTATTTTTGTCTATATATTCTGATTTTTTCAAATATTCTGCCTTCCACACTTTTATTCAGACTATATAAATATTTGTAATATTTCCTTAAACTTATACATTGTCCTTTTAACTATATATTTTAATATGCATTGTCCTAGGAATTAAAAAATAAACATCTGTGGCAGCTATTCTATAGGATCCCTTCTCCCTAGAGTTCTCACCAATAAGAAATGGCTAAGAGTAAAGATAAAAGTCCATAGCATTCTTGAGTACCCATGCTTTAAAGACAAAACCTGTGCTGCTGTTGTGGTTGTGTCTAATTGTCTCCTCAAAGCTTCATGCAGTCATTGGGGCGGCTTCTAGAGTTTGTGATTAATTCCTGATCCGATGCTTGGATTACAGATGTGAGTTCTACACCCGCCCTGAGTCAGACAGCCTGAACATAATGTAAGGGAGGGAAAGAGGCTTGCTAGCTGTGGCAGTACTGCTGCTCTCTTTTGGCTCTTGCTTTTTTACTGTTTTCCACCAACATAAACTGCTGTTCTCTGCTATGTGCCATTCTACCTTGGAGTCTGCCAAGTATGGACTGAACCCTCCACTAACTGTGAGCCAAAAAAACCTTTCCTTCCTTAAAAATTTTGGGTGTTGGTTATTTTGTTCCAGAAATGAGAAGAAAGTAACTGAGACAGATGTAAATTACAAACCCCTTCTTTTGACTGGATAAATAGCCAGGGTGATGTTTCAAAATGACCATTAAGAAATGTACAGATATCGTTTCTCAGTAGATTCATCAGAAGCCTATTATTCCTTTTTAAAGAAATCTATTTATTATTTATTCAGTACAGTGTCTAATTATGCAGCTTAGACTTGTAGTGAGGTTGCAGCCTCCCCAGAGCTAGGATTACAGGCATGCGCCATGCCTTGTTTCAGTGGCTGGACATGGCCCACCTGGGCTTCTAGGGCCAGCACAGCACGTGGTACCAGGGATAAAACCCTGGTCCTTGTGCTTGCCAGGCAGGGTCTTAGACACTCAGCTATCTCCTCTCTCTAGCCCAGAAGCCTATTATTCCTAATATAATAAACCTCAGTAAGAATCATGTGAGACTCACAAAGTTTTTTGAGAACTGTGTTTCTGTACACATAGTGAATTTGAATTGAAATGGATAGAGAGTAAACAGTTAAAAAGGGGTGCTAAGGCATGCTAAGTTTTATGATACAAAATCAGGCTGAGAAAAGTAGTAGCTGCAAGCAAGTTATCTCTTATTAAGAAAAAAAATGATTCAAGAAAAAAAAAAAAAGCCAAGAGCACAGACAATGGAGCTAAGAGTCATGGAGAACCACTACCAAGCAAGACCATAACTTAGTCCCAATCAAATAATTTCAATATTTCTCTAACTGGATTTCAGAATTACCATGGAGTAATAATACCAGTGTTTTTCAACGTTTTGAACAGACATCTCTAATTATTAATTCATGCCTATCTTACCACAGTATATTGGACATGTGAAGGGAAAACTAGTGTCTTTACTTTGAAATCTTCAGATCAACAGGACACACACCCAAGGAACTGCACAAGGACTAACAATCAAGGAGCTTCATCTGAACCTGATTAGATGAAGAGATACTAACCTCTGAAGCTTAACCTAATGATATAATAGAATCTCTGAAGTTTCAAAACTATGTGATCATTTTGATTTTCCCTGTTTCTGTCTACATTAATAAATAAAGACACATTGTTCTTCCTTCACATTTAATTCACTCCCTCCTTTCTTTGGCCATTGCTTTAATTCAGCATTTTATCACAGACTGCAATAACCTGCAAACTAGTGTTCCTGAAATGAAATTTGCCTCATTATGTAACTTTACTTCCAAGTTCATCCTGCTTTGATAGTAAAGTGAGATTCATAACAGCATTGCTAACCAATATTACAGTTTCCATTGCACTGTAAAATCTATGTATTTGTTTCTTCTACTTTTTAGTTTCATATCTAATGACCTAGAACAGTGTCTATGACACAACAGATAGTAAAACTTATACTGAATGAATGACCAAATGCTCAAGTTACATGCTTTACAAGAGTTTATACTCTTCACAATAGAAAATACATTCATTAATTCATTAGGACAATTAAAATTAAAATGCAGCATCTAATTATATAATAACCTAATCTGTTAGAAAGGTTAAATTTCTGGAAACTTCATTCAAAATTGTTTTTGTTAATTCCATTTAAATAAGGTGATACTATACATTCATACCTCTTTTTAAAATGTTTGCCTGATTTTCTAAGTCAAACATTTCAATCTTGACATTTTCTTTCATCAAAAGCTCTCTTTTCTTTGTTATATCATACTCATTATTAAAGTCTGTAATTTCCTTAATAAATTTTTCTTCCTCTTCTATAACTTTTTTCTTTATAGTCTCCTGAAAGAACAAAAACATAGATCAAATAATACCATATATATATATTTTTTTTTTCGGTACCAGGGATTGAACTCAGGACCCTGTGCTTGCCAGGCAAGCGCTTATTCTACTGAGCTATCTCCTTGGGCTCAAATTTTTCTTTTGTGATTTAAAATATAATCATTTGGATTACTAACAAAAGTATAAAATTATACTTCTTGATATTAATACAAAATTTTATCATTTCTCAGTAATACTATTTAAAAACTGAGGCTGAAATGACAGGAAACTATCTTCAGATGGAAGATTTATCCTTTAAGTTTTAAAATATTATTATGATACAAATTCTACTATTCTTCATCATTGAATGGCAGAATTTCCATCATAATATTATGTTTATTTGAGAATTAAACTTTATAATCAGTTATTCCATTTTATCATTACAACATAAAATTAGGTGGCAAAATAATGCCTAATCTTTCACATTAAAAACTACAATCAAAGAAATATAGTCTTGTAAAAAAAATAGAAAAATGACCAAATAAGGATACCCGGAGAAATATTTTAAAATGTAGATTGATAAAGGCACAATTGTATATTCACTGCAAACTCAGTTCTAAGCAATTGTTTATGTTTTATGAAATACCAATCTGGCACGAAAATAACAATTTTCAAAACTTTGGACAATTCCAAAACTTAAAGTTCTGACAATACTATAACTTAAAAATTACTATATTTTCTATGGAATGTTAACTAGTTATGGACCACCTTCAGAAACTTTCCACATCATTAAAAATCACATCTTTTGGCTCTGACTTCTGAACTATATTTTTAATATTGTAACATATGTTTTCTTTAAAATGTTACCTACCACAAGTCTTATTTCCAAATTGGCACTGTCACTGTTTGTTGGTCTTGATTTAAGATAAAAAGATAACACACTATCCACACTTTTTACTCACATACATAAATATGCCTGAAATATGAACTTTTCAAAGTATTAAAACTAAAGAATGAAAGCTCAAATAATTAAAATCAGTAGTACTTTTTATTAGGAACTTATTGCAATTGCAAATAATTTTTATTTTACATCCCTGTCAACAGAATTCCTTCAAACTCTGTTTCTTTACCAATTAGTTTTCAATAGCACTTAATACTTTTCCTTGTTTATATAATACTATCTACCAATATGAATGTGGATAATTTTCTAAATGTACACTAAGTATATTTAAATAGTTGTGACATATTTATTGAAATGGATTTTCCTAAGTGGTTAGACTTACAAAGGTTTGAAGAAGCATGTTCCTTTGGTTTGTAATTTCACTATATTGTTTTTCTAAGGCATTGTCATGAACTTTCAAAAGCTGGAAGAAGGAGGATTTTTCACAATACTGCTTAACCTTCAAAGTAAAGAAACAAAAATCATAAACAGAAACTTTAGAGTATCTTAGTTAATAGATTTGCATAAAATAATTGTTTGGATTAATCTTTAAAATGCAAAATAAAATTTACATGAACTATCCCAGTATATATACACTATCTACATAATTACAATTTTAAGACCTCTCACCCCAGTCAGATTGTTAGCTCCTTAAATGGGGGAACATGCTTTCCTTTGCCTCCTCACACCTTGCATGGTTCTTACCTTATACACCAAAACTTTTTGATTATACACGCTGAAATCTGTTAAAAGTCTGTGTAAAAGAAGAGTTTTCTAGTCTCACAAATTATGATGAAGATGACAAAATAATGAGATGGGACAAATTTGTAGCTAAGTTGTAGAAGGCTTACATACTCAAGGCTCTGAGTTTTATTTCTAGCACCAGAAAACAAAACAAATAAAATAATGAGGTAACATATACAAAATACAGGCAAAAAAACCTTAGTGTTATAAGTATATCATATAAAACATAAATCTTAAAAACTTCTCATGCAAGTTTTAAGCATTTATTTTACTTTTTTGTTTAAATTTTAGTGTATGTTTCATTATCATTTTACTTCCAGAACCTGCAACAGTGGGTTACCAATGTTAGCTAGACTGGTACAATCTACAGACCATCCCATCCCTGCTAGACATTAACCCCACAATTCCTTATAAGCAAGATCAGAAGCCAAATGGGATGTATGTCAATACATGTGGGGTAAGACCTCCTATTTGTTCACTCCCCTCAATAACTCATTTTTTATTTTAGTACCTCATTTAGAACTGCTAAACAGCAAAAGACAAATAAACATTAATATTAGATATGTAGCTACCATATTATTTTATTTGGGCTTTAAAACTTGGCATCCTGAGACATGAATATTGAAATGAAATTCAGGGAGCTTTGATATATAAACTAAAAATAATGCTAGTCTGATACTAACTTTTTCTGCAACTTTCAGTACTAGCCCTCATACAAAAACATCACTTCCAGTTTGGAACTTTCCCCATCTTTACAGAAAAAAAGTATATATATAAGTTCAACTTAAATTGCAAAAACTAAGATTTTTGTTACTAATAAGAACTTCCTCAAGGTGATAGGCAGGTTGTGAAATTCTATCTCAGAAGATATTGAACAGTGAAGTGCCTAGGAATAGTCTAGTGTGGCAGACATTTGTTTGAAAAAGTTTTGAAATATGACAGGTACAAAGGCCTAGAAATACTGTCATTTTAAAAAAATGGCTGATAAAATAGAAAATATAGTCTTATACTTGTGTAAGATCACAGTACCATCTATAGCCATACCACCCTGAATGTGCCCAATCTTGTCTGATCACAGTACATCTGCACTAAGCTACAGTACCTGACACTACTTTCACCAATCCTATTTTAATAGAGACAACAACAGAGAAAGAATAGAGAGGCATAGTTTATACCACTAAACGACTAAATGAGTGAGAAAATACTTTTAAATTGGAGGAAGAATTAAATAATTGATAATTCATTATTAGACATGAAGAAATTATAAAACATATGTCCAAATCAATCACATCATGTAGAAAACCCCAAGGAAAAACAAGAATGTGATGGTGGAGTCTATTATACTTAGAATAAGAAAATACTTCAGGAGGGCAGGCCAAATAGCTCAGCAGATTAAAGCAAGGCTGGGGAGATGGCTCAGTAGAATAAGTGCTCACCTGGCAAATGCAAGGGCTTGAGTTCAATCCCCAGTTCCCTCCTCCCCCCCCAAAAAAAAATGCAGGTGCAGGGGCCAGGTCTACTGTGCCGGCCCAGACTCCAGGGTGCACTGAGAAGGCAATTGAGACTGGGCGTGGTGGTGTGCGCCTGTAATCCCAGCACTTGAGAGGCTGTCCAAACCAGTGGAGAGACCCTGAACACCCTGTAGACCCATCCCTAAAATAAAAAAAGAAAAAGAAAATACTTCAGTACTATTTACTAATAATGTTTATGTAAATGAGAATAAAATAATGTCTAGAGAAGTTCAATCTTTAATAAGGCTTATGTCATTAATTAGGGACAAGCCTGGGCCTGAAATCCAGGTTTTCTGACACCCTTTCTTCTAAACTATGATGCTAACATGGGCATAATATAATTACTTTAAGTAATGAAAAGGTAATTCTGGAACAAAAGAGACTTCAGTCTCTAATAACAGTATAAGTTGAAAGTATATGAGCTCATGAGACATTCTTTTTTTTTTTTTTTTTACATTCTTGTGAGGAATGGTACATATACATAGTATGTCTTTTTTAATTTTTTTATTTTTTTCAAAGTTTTATTGATAAACAGATAGCAATGAGACAGTTTCAAATCAAATCAGAAGTACAGT